AGAATTTCTTTTTGAATAATGATTTAAAATAAAAATTATATATAAATCTATTTTATTAAGTTATATTAAAATATTTTGAAGTAACAAAAAACGCTGAGTTGATCATTAGTTTTTTTTCTAAAATAAACGCATAATTAAAATAGGAAAAAGTGAATGATAAAAGTTGAAAAGTCTTTGAGGGTATTAATATACCAAATCTATTGTTTGGAACAAATATTTAAAATTCTAAACTGTTGGTTGATCTTGATTGAATGGGATGGATGATTTTGGATCAATTCCAACATCTTTTTTCTTCTCATCATTCTTATTTTCAGCATTTCTTTTTTTTTCGGTTCAACTTATATAATAATGATTAGATAAAGGTAAATTATTGCTAAGAAAATAGCCATTACTTTTTCATAATCATATTTGATGTTTACTATCAGGATTAGAAGATGGCTCGAAAGAAAATTTTTATCTAACCGTAGCTTCAATAGTAGATCAAGCTGATGAAATTAAATTTCCAACTTGATATGAAGTTCCAACAACAAATGATCGAAATTCTGCAGGTGATAATTCAATAAAATGTATACGTATAACAGGCCAACCTCCTTCTACACATAATTGTTGAAAAAATGGTCGAAAGATAATATTTGGTATGCCCTAAGTAGACTTATAAGTAATATAAATGGTTGAATGATTAGTAATCGAAGTGATGGTGCTTTTCATATATTAGTTGGAGTACCAACAAATACAACACAACGTGATCTACGTGGAGGATCATAACCGATAAATAGATTTTGAAATGATTTTTTTTAAATCGAAAACAAAATTCTTTTCTTTTTCAAACCATTTCATAAAATTGAAATGCATCGTGATTCTGTTGATAATCGATTTATATCAAATGTTATTGCTAATAGATTTAAACCATAAATAATTTATACAAATTCGAATAATAATATATATGATCAAACTTCAGCTATTGTTTATTTACCACCAGCTCCAAATTCAAATTCCGTGATAATATGTCTAATGAAAATTTAATAAAAAAAGATCAAACAGAAATTGATCATTTAACAAAATTCTTAATAAAAAATATTGATTTATCAAATGAACCAAATTTTTTTGGTTAGTATAAAACATTCGAATTTATTATTTTGTTTAGAATTTTGTTTCGTTTCCTTTCAAAATGTATGTGTGCACGATGTAATGATGAAATAGTTGGAGAAGAAAATCGACTTGTTGTAATGAATCGAATGTATCATGTCTCATGTTTAACATGAACTATGTGTGATTATCATTTACGTAATATGCATTTTTATTCAATGAAAACTAAACCTTATTGTCAATCATGTTATGTCGTATATTGTTTGATTTTATTTATTTTCTTTGTTTAGAATTCATTAGAAAAATGTGTAGTTTGTGCTCTACCAATTACTGATCGAGTATGTTATTCAATTTGTAAATTAGAATAGCTTTAGAATTAACCAAGGAAAGTTGTTTTAGAGTTGAGACAACATGTATTATCTAGACTAAAATCAGTTATAAATACCATGAAAAGAATTTTCATTATTAGTTTAGTTTTACGAAGATATTGGACTTCTACAGTGTTTCGAAAATCAATCCTAGGATTTTTCGAAATTTGATTTGAAATTTCCTACAGAGACAAGTCTTAATGAGAATTTTCAAAAACTAGATTCCATTAGTTCGTTGATATCACAAAACAAAATATTAGGATAAAGACAAAGAATCCTAATTGATCAGTTCATTTAAATGAGTTTTTATCATAGAAACTCAGTATCAAGACTAATTATCGTAGATTCGTTATTTTTCATACTATTTATGCGTATCATTTTAAATGAATAGAATTTCTTTTGTAGAATTCGAATACTAAATTCATATTTATATTTTCTAAAGATTTTTCGTGTAACGGGTAAACGATATAATGGTCAAGGTTCTTCTTGTATGCAATGTCAAAAAAGTGTTGATGGTATACCATTTACTATTTATCCAACTATGCAAATAGATTCTATTGATTGTTTTCATGAAAAATTTCCACTAGGTTGTTATGTATGTAATCGTACAATATTATCATTAATTGGTCAATAAGAAAGAATAGCTATAATTGCATTTGATCAAAGTTATCATATTGATTGTTATCGATATGAAGTTAGTTTATATTTAATTAAAATTTCAATCTATTTAGTTAAAATGAATTGTTTTTGAAAAATTGTAATATAGAATTTACAAGAGAAGAAGATTCTTATCTAATAGATAATCATGGACTTTGTCTTCAATGCAATCGAATATATTCTAAAAATGATGTTTTATCAATAATTCAAACGTTGAATATTTTGTGATTTTTATTTTTAAAGATTTTTTTTTTAGTATTCTATCCTTTATATAATATATTGTAAAATCTATAAGAATATCTAGAAAACAAATATAAAATATGTTTTGTGCATTAACTTTCTTCTTTTTTATAAAATTATTTCAGCTCATGATTTTTTTTTATTATCTTCTATTTTATTCTATATTTGTCATTTTTAATATGAATTATAATAGACGAATATTTTTTAATAAACGAAGATTTTCTAATTTTATATTTAACAAATCTGTAAAAGAAACATTTTATACGTAATATGTTTAATTAAATATTTAAATGAGATCGAATACTATCTACCAGAGTTGAACAATTCAACTCAATCACATTGAAAAATTCTCGTAAATACATTTGTTTTTTGCAGTCCAACAAAAAAAAAGGATCGATGAAACTAAAAAAGTCTGGTTACTAGATCCATGCTTCCAAGTTCGGACTATTTTCTTAAGTTTTCTAATCGATTCCTACCGAAAATCCACAAATTCGAAAAAATTTTATTCTTGTTTATCACATGAAAAACAATATCCTTCTCTTCATCTCATAATATAATTAAGATTTTTTACAAAACAATAACATCGGACAATCAAAAAAAACAAAAGGTCATAACCGAATCAAATACCATTGAGAAAAGAAAAAAAATGGATAGATATCGTTTAACAATAGATATCGTATCGGTCCATCGAAAATTCAATAAAGATAAATAAATATTCTATCTATAACCTAAAAGAACAGCATAGTTGCACATAAATTATATACAATCACCAAAGACTGAAAAAGAAGACAAATATTGACAAGATTCTGCAATTGTTTATGAAAGAAATTATTGAAGTTTTATTTTTTTTTCATATAAAATAAAAAGTTTAAAAACTCTACGATAACTCTGAAAGTATTTGTCGAATGTTGATTATCTCTAATTGCTGGAAATCATATCCATGCAGAACATGACTATGAATGTCAGCAGTTTTTTTGAAAGTATTATATAATCGAAAACGAATCTATGTTTAATCAATAGAATTAATCTTCCTTATTTTTCATTTATTATTATAAATATTTTCATGTTTAGTCATATAATCAGCAATATCAGTAGAAATGAAAAAAGAGCGAAAATAAATCTATAAAATCTAGTCAATAAATACAATATAAAAATATATACAGGGTGATCGAAAAGTCTTGGTACCTATCAGAAAAATTGTTCGTTCTCCCTTATAGTAAACTCCAATAATGCTCAAACTTTGGTATCTTATTCCTTGTAACATGGCGAATATTATCCTAAATTTTCACCTCTCTATCCTGACAAATAAGGGAGATGTATAGACTAACATTCTTGAAATCTTATTTTTCTTCATGTCGCAAAAATAGTAGTTGGCGTATAATAAATGGGCCACTTTTGCATTTCATGTTTCCATCACTTGATACGTTGTATTACGAAAACAAAATACACTAC